ACGTCTCAAATTAGGGTGTTTGTTACTGAACCATCCACATCTCTTTGCGGACCTATTGAAAATGCGGCAAAGGCGAGATGTCTCGACGGGTGCGTTTATTCTAGACTCTAAATTGAACACAAGGTCCGTTATGGTTTGAACAGCGTGAACCTTTTTTACAAAAGCGCGTGTCTACCCAGTCCCCCCTCCCTACTCACAAGGGCAGCTGCGAAATGCTTCCAGGCATCGTCTCTCCCTAGTTGCCGAGCTTGAGCTCAAGGTGAGCAGTGTTCAGACTTCGTCGAGATGGGTTTGTCGTGCTGTGGGCAACGGCCTAAGAAGGCTGGGACAGAAAAGTTGACCCCCGTGCATGACGAGGTGGTATACCCGGTTCATTTGTTGGACCAGTCTACATTACAGCAGGAACTGGTCACCTGGGTCATGAGCTTCAATGACGTGCTTTCTGCAGTTCCCTTGCACCAATCTCTTTGCACTCTCCTTGCGATTGGGGACTGGAAGAAGCTTGGAACTCGACTACGGGTCCGGGTAAGATGATTGTCTCTGGTTCCAGATGAATATGATGAAAATGATGAAGATGATGAAGTGAGAATCCGCACTCCGAGCATACAAAAACTGACCATTTACTGTCACAGGATGATGGCTTAATGGAGGCATATGCACCCAAGGTATTCACCGCGCAGAACCCTTCTTGCACATTCCTCCACGAAAAGTTTTTCGATACTCCTATTCAAAGAGACCCCATTGGAAAGCACTTTATTTTGCCAAACAAACGAGCCTTCACTCAAAGGTACCCCTCAGACTACCGACGTCGTTTCCTCCCGCCAGGGGTCCCCTCAACTGTGCAGGACATTGTCGATGGGGGCTTGTCCCAATTAGTCCTCCGTGTTTTCTCATTTCGAGACGCAACTGTCGTAACGCTCTCGTGGCCGCCAAACTCCATGGATACAGCAGGCTTCAAGGCCCTCCTGCAAAACTGGTCTCTATGCATGGCCGGACGCACAGATGAGGTTGCTACCGTCTTTGGGGCGCGGGAGGATGCCCTTGCAAAGCTGGTCATAAGCGCCGAAGAAAAGAAAGCCCTCGAAGAGCTCAGAATGGACAGGAAACTCAAAGCTTTGTCTCAGAGCCCGATTTCAAAATGGTGGAGGCGACGGAGTCACCAACCACTACAGAGCAGAATGGTGTTCATCCCTCGCGCAATTTACGATGATTTCATGAAAGAGATTCGTGAAGACATTGCCAGCATATTGAAGGATGATGATCAGCGACCAGTTACGACCGCCGCGGACATCATCCTAGCCTGGATAAGCAAGCTACAGGCCGCAGCTGACCCTAAGCCAAGGGGTGTCTTTTCTACATCCTTGGTCAACCTACGATGTCGCATGTCCACCCTTCGCGACCCGTCAGGGGAGTATCTTCAAAACCTGACACTGCCGTGCTACTCTTATATCTCCCCTGAAGAAGCCACCGACACGATCGGCGCCATAGCCCTCCAACAAAAACATAACATGCAAGATCAGACCTCGGAACACCAAATGCTCGCCCTGGTCAAGCACATCATCGACAAGAAGAAGCGCGGTAAGAACCCGCTCCCCATATACAATGTATCCAGAACCCCCCTTCTTGAATTCCATAACTTTTCCCCTCTGCAACTCTTCTCTGCCGCCGATTTCTCGCCAGCTGTTATTTGCGCCGGTGCGTTTGACGGTCCCAGATGGAACCCTCCGGGACGCATGACCACAGCGTACTACCTTATGGAGAGCACGAACTTCGATGAGAATGTTTGCGCTGTGCTTGGGAAGGACCTCGGCGGTAATTTTTGGATGACATGCCAGCTGGAGCCCGAAGTGTGGGTCAAGGTCGAGGAGGATTTGTATAATTTGCAGAAGACGGTGAATTCGCCTACTTCGGGACATTGTATTCGGTTCTACGACTATTCGGCACGTAAGGTATCCATTAGGTCTACGTTTTGACCTGCCACGGGAACCCTTTCTTCTTCTTTTAAATGTAGTCTTTTCAGGCGTGAGAGCCCATGCTGTGATAGGTCTTTGCGGGCATTTGCTTGAGTGATGTAGGTTATAAGCAGATGATTTTTATTTATAAGACATGCTTACGGCATAGCCTTAATATTAATAGCTAATAGGGAGGGAAATAAAAGGAAATAACGTCTTTCAAACTACAGGTTCACCGGCACCCTTTCTGCACCAAAAAAAAATACACTATCAAGACGGCGGAAAAAGCCACCACATCTTGGTCAAAGCGAATGCAGCCATACGATGGACTTGGTAGAACATTGGACGCAAAATCATGTTTTAAAGCCACCTCGGGACATTCGATGTCTGTGGAACTAGTACTTCTCAGAGAAACAGGCTTACAACTGCAAGTCCTTCATATGAATAGCAGGATACCTGTCTCCAGCCGGCACGAAGCCTTGAAGCATGCCATCAATCTCTGCCATATCTTCACTTGTGAGATCTATGATGGTGGCATTCTCTTTGATTCTTTCAGGGTCGGAAGATCCAGGGATTGGGATGATGACCGGCATCCCCGGCCGCTTCGAAAGCGCCAAGAGCCAGTTGATGGAAATCTGGGCCGGAGTGCAGCCCTTCTTCTTCGCGAGGGCTTCCACCTTTTCCACGAGCTTGAGGTTAACTTGGAGGTTCCCGTCCTTGAACCGCGGCAGGTCGCGCTTCATGTCGTCCGGAGCGAGGTCGTCGGTGGTCTTGATGCGGCCGCCGAGTAGGCCGCGTCCGAGAGGGGCTGGGGGGTTCTCGTCAAGACGCTGCTTGCGAAAAAAAAAAAAAAAAAAAAAAAAAAAAAAAAAAACAAAGCGGCCAC